ATCATACCGAAAGCAAATGGATATGTAAAATTAGTTACTATATTAATATAACATCAATCGGTTTTTTGCATATTTACACCAACTGCAAGGATAAATTTCGCATTTTTTTTCTTGATTGGTTGGTGTTATTATTATTATTATTTCCTCATTTTGTGTACTAGCTTGCTATCCTTTTCTTTTACTTTGCGAATAATAACATTGAAGAAAAAAAATGATAAATTTGATCCAACTGAATCCGTCGCACCTCTAAATTTATATCGTGAGCAAACAAATTTATTATGTATTTTGCACATTTCTACAGAAAATCTTAAGCTCGTGCAAATTGTACAAGATGAAAAACCTCAATACCGTTTATATTCGACATGTTTTTTTTATAGAACATTTTCTTTTGCAATTTTGTCCTACCAGGATTTTCAGTTGTTTGGAGATATCTTACTACCTTCGTGAAGACCTAAAAAATTAGAGGTCAAAAAAACCTAATCGGTTAAGCATATAAATAAGAAATCACACAACCATGTAATTTATGATTTTAGTGTACAAAAAAATGTTAGTATGTTGTTATTTGATGACTTAAGTTCTTTTAAATAATGAACAATTCTTATGTCTGCTCATTATGAATCAAATGTTATATTATCAATAAACTATAATAATAATAATAGAGTTAATAACACTAAAGCAAATACAGTCCTCGGCGAAAGTAATGGTGCGAATATTTGAATTACATAATACCCTAAAACGTTCATTTATAATGTTAATTTGTCATTGAGTCGCGTAAATAGATATATAGCAACCATAAAAGTAAATAAAAAAAATAATGATCGTCATCAGTGTTTTTTGTCTACTTTACCTTGCAAAATGCCTTCGAACCCTATTAAAGCCAACCATAATGCCGTTAACTTCTCTGGAAGCAAAATGTTCGTACTCCGAAAAAAATTTCGAATAGAACTGGGATCCCATTACGTACACGTCAACGATACGTCACCATATTAAAAAAAATGGAAAAATTCCAGAAATTCGCCGGTCAGGCCGTCCGCGAAAATTATCACCGGAAAAGCAGTGCCAACTCGGAATGATCGTCAAGAGTAACCACTATAGGACCGCCACCGAAATGAAAACTATTTTAGAAGAAAAATACCAACATCTCGAAGTTAGTGAGAGAACTGTTCACCGTGAGCTTTCCAACCTCGGTTATGTTGCTACTCTTCCCAGAAAAGTTCCTCTTCTAACAGAACAAGCAAAGATTAACCGCTTGTCATGATCATGTGCATTACAACTGGAAAAAAGTTGTTTTTTTCAGACGAAACAACTATCCAGTTGTTTCGCAATACGATGCTACCATGGTCTCGTAAAAAGAAACCTGTAAAACCTATAATAAAACATCCCCTTAAGGTTTATGTTTGGGGTGCTATCAATTTTAAAGGGAAGGTCGGTATTCATATCTTTACTGAAAACCTTGACCACCACCTATATCGTAAAGTTTTAAATGAACAACTTTACAACAACGCTGATGCATTGGTAAGTGGCCGATGGGTCTTTCAGCAAGATAACGACCCTAAGCATACATCTAGGGACGTTATGAATGATCTGAATACCCGCCTTCCAAGACGTGTTCTCGCCTGGCCTTCATATAGCCCAGATCTCAATCCTATCGAGAATATATGGGCTATAATGTTGAAGAGAAACACGTCAAAAAAATGATAGCAAAAAAAAAAAGGTTTCGAAAAATAAATTTATCGGTATTATTAGGGAGGAATGGGAGGGAATCAAAAAAAAGTCATAGTTAATAGTGATGTTAGCCGGTAGAAAAACCTTAGCCGGCTAAGCCGGCTAATAATCTGCATACATAATTTCTAAATTTGGTAATAGATTTCCGCGTTATCTTCTGGTTATGGAAATAAAATTACCAAATTAGGTAATAAGCGGCTTAACCGGCTAAGAACTTGAATAAATTTTTTATCTAATAGTTTAGTAGACAAATAACATACAGTCCCTTGAAAAAAGTATCGCTTCACCTGATGATTGACGAAAATAATTGGATAACTTCTGTGATATAAAAAGTCATGATTTTACTAACCAAGTCGATGTTGTGTAATAACAAAAAAATCATTTTCATAATGATTTCTATAACATATTCAAGTTTCACAACACACAATTAATTATTGGTAATTTTATGATCTTTAAAAGACAAAAAAAAAATTTCCGGAAATTTTCAAAAAAACTTGAGATTAGAGCCAACTTTAGATGACATGTTTTAACACATTTTGAGAGCTTAGTAAATGTTGTTTCTTTTATCTTCAAATGTATACTTATGAAATCTCACAATTAATTGTCGGATATTGGTCAAGTATCGAACTGAAACGTAAAAATAATTTTTATGAAGTTTACTAGCTATTTGCACAATATTTTACATATTAACTTGTAATAAAATATACACTAAAAGAATCAAAAAAAGATAGAGAATTTGGTTATTTATTAGTATTTTGTCGGGTTTCCTTTAGAATTAATTACAGCTGCAACTCTTCTTGGCATAGAATTAACTAAATTTTGTAAAAAATTACGGTCAAGCTTCCCCCACTCTTCATTTAAATAAATAGATAATTCTTCAATATTTTTTGGATGTGGTTTTCGATTATGAACTGCCTTTTCTAAATAATCCCAAACATGTTCAATTGGGTTGAGATCAGGACTCTGGGCAGGCCAAGGAAGAGAAGAAATTAAATTATCTTCTTTCCATTTAAGCACCGCCTTTGCAGTATGAACCGGTGCATTATCATCTTGAAATATATTTAAATCAGTTCCTAATTCGTT